AAATAAACATAATGCAAGGCACTGTTGTTTAGGTCTTTTCAGATACTGATTCATTCATTCAATCCTTCTAACAGCCCCACAAAATACAAACTACTTTTTACTCCCATTTTACAGATGAAAAAACAAAACAAAACAAAAGCACAGTGTGATTAACTTATCCAAAATCACAAGGTTGGTAATGGCAACTGTGAGGTTTGAATACAAGAAGTCTGGTTCCAGAGTCTGTGTCTGTAACTTATTGTGCACTACTCTGCCTGAATAAGAATCTACAAAGATCCTTGCTTAAGGTATGTGAGTAGTTGTTCAACAAGAGGGGGAAGTGTATTTACTCCTCCCTGTGTGATTTATTTGATGATATTCTAAAACCTTTCCTCATGCCACTAGAATTCCATGTTAAGTACTATACTAAATTTTCCTGTACTGAAGGCATATGCAATGGTTACCTTGACTGACACATAAAATACCCAAAACAAAATACCCCAAGACTTGAGGACTTTTTGGTTTATGAATTAGAGACGAGAAAGGATTCCCTAGGCATCAGAGATGTTACAAGCTCACATCTGTAAGTGTTTCTTAGGTATTTTTATATTTTTTAAACAGGAATGGTTCCTGTCAGAAGTACTTCAGTGTTCTATAGCTGAGCTTTAAAATTATCTAACCCTTTTTTAATATTTAGTCTTCCTTATTTTTTCTTCACACATAGGTAAGCACTTGCTTTCAATATGTTTTTATTTCATTATTTTTACTTCAGTTATCTTGAAAACATGTTATAAACATGCATACATATTATAAAAGTTTAAAATTCAGGATGTGATTAAAAATATCAACAGGAGCTATAAATTGTATCAGGAACATATATAAATTAATTTTTGAAGAACAAGTATCACAGGTCAGTAAAAGAGATTCCATGTGAAATGTAAAAACTACTTTGAACAAATTGTCCATAAGTTAACATTTTCATTAGAACCACATATTTATTATTTCTGGGTCTGTGACATTTCTTTAATGCACTTTGACTAACTGTTCTAACATCACATTAAGAAGCCATTTCAGCAATTTTCCCCCAATTGAAATTAACAGATTTTATTTACATTTGAACCAAAATGATTTAAAATAATATAACATTAAAACAATACCCACTTCCTAATGTTGATACCATTTTTTTCCCACCCAGAAACACTTATTCTGAAACGTTTAATTTGAACCAGGATATAACTTTAGTAATTATTTTTGCACAGAATAACCTAAAATTAATAGTCAAGTTGTAAGACTGTTTGAAAATTGGGAGACTGACAATCAAAATAATCCTAAATGCTTTGTTTATGTGATGAAAAGAAATGATCCTTTAATTCCCTCACACACATTAAACTGATTTCACAGACTTTCTATACTGGTGTTCAACATAGTCAAGTGTTTGGGGTTACATAAAATAAACAATCTTGAGATCTTATTACAAATGTTTGCAATTTATGAAGTAAACTGATTTGTGAAAAAAATAACAGGATCCCATGTCATTGAAGCCAAAAAGGCATTTTTCAGAAATCAAAATAGTTCCGAAATCTGAGCATTGTATTATACTGAAAGTATTACCATCTGAAGATCTAAAAAGTTATAAATCTGGAGAAAAACTCAAAATAGATATTTATCAGTTCAGCTTCAAGCAAAGGCCTCTGAGTTTACTGGGTCTCTTGTATCATAGCTTCCTTAACACTAATGATATCTCGATAATGCCTTTTAACTTGCTTTTCCCCAATCAGAGAAGGCGTTGCACATCCTGAAAAATTGAGGGGGAGGAGAAATTTTTTATTCCTTATTACGGTTATTGCGTTTCAATCCAAAAGACCTGGTGCTGGGCCTCGTTTGAATTTAATGTGAAGAAATCCTCCGAACCCCCTCTCAAGGATGGCTCTGGAAACGGGTGGGCGCCTACCATCCGTACACAGGGCGCCTACCCGGAGTTGCGGCCGTGACGCTCCGGGAAAGTGTCCTGCGCGAGCGTCCGCGGGAGCTGTACCCGGCCTTGCCCTGCCCGAAGGGCGTCGCGGCCCGCGGAGGGTCCCGGGAGAGGCACGCGGGCGTAGCTAGGCGGCGGCGGCAGGCATCTCTGACCCGCCCAGCAAAGCCCGCGGGCTAAGGAGCGCCCCGTGGGTCCCGGGAGCAGGCCATCCACCCCCACCGCCGCGCGACTCCGCGCCCCGCGCCCCGGGCCCTGACCCCGCAGGGCTCTCTGTCGGGTCCACGGTTCCTGCAGTGGGGCCTCACGGGAACTGCTAGCCCGCCTCTGAGCCGCGACGCTCGGACCCCTCGCACCCCAGTAGCCGCGCTCCGCCGCGGGAACCGCGGGGCTCCGCGGAGGCCGCCCCCACTGTTGTGCCGGGGCCGATCTGCCAACTCCGGCCCCGAGTCCTCCCGTGACCTCCGACCTCTCTCAGGGCGCCTGGGCAACATCTCCACCCGCGTCCGAGGTTGGACCTCGGGCGGTTAAGAGCCTGTGGCCGCCCGCCGAACCAGCCGCTCGCGGGGGCGCGCCTGAGAACCCCTTCGAGGCCCCTCCAAAGCGCGGGCCCACGCAAATGTTTGTGAAAACTAGGGACTCCCATCAGGTGAGAGGCCTGAGAGAGTAGAGCGCTGACCACCGCCCGCCTGCTGTTCCGCGGTCTCTGGAAGCTAAAATGTAGATAGATGAAGACGCCTTAGCCACGTCTCCGCTGGGAAACAGCTGGGAGTGCAGCTCATCTGGATAGATTCGGGTGGGGGCGGCGGGAGGATGCAGAGCTTCGCCTCTACGCGTCCTCCCAGCCAAAGAGAAACCCTGGGGACCTCGGCCCACCTGGTTCGTCGAGGACGGCGCCCCCTCCCAAACGCCCGCGCAGGAAAGGAAGGTCCTGCTACGGCTCTGTCTCTCCGAGGTTGCCTAAACCCACAGCACATTCGGGGGGAAGGGGATAAAGACATGGAGAGGGCGGAGCTCCCCGGTATTCTGAGCACCCGACTTTTCCTAAACGTGGCCCCGACTTCTACCTTTTACTAAATTTAACCAACGGAGAAGCTGCTTGCCTCTAAGTGCTAAGCTAGAGACGCAAGTGGGGGGGGTGGGGGTCGCCCTTCCAGGAGCCCCTGCTTCCTTCGGCGACTCTTAGGGTACTCCTTAACTACCTCGCTCCCCCCTTCCTTTCGCCCCCCCGAATCCGGAGAGATTTGGTGAGTTAGGACCCAGAGTCTTTTAAACTACTGATAACCCAGTATCACCGCGTGATCCCGCTTTTCTTTCTCCTTAAAATGTCCCCAAATAAATTTCAAGGGTGAGAGTGTAGGCAAATGAACGAGAGTCCAAAGTGAGGAAGAGTGTTATCCTAGTCTATGTTACTTCACATATCATCTGTTCCTTTATTGATTGGGTGTAAAATCAATCCGCCTTCTATGCTGGGTAGATAAAAGTAGGGATGAGGGACGTGTTTAGCGCTATGGAGATCCACAGTGCCCCTGGGTTTCTGCACGCAGAACAGAGGCAAGCGATTTTCCAAGTTGGTATATTCGAGAAAGATACACATTCATCAAAAAGCAAGAAGGAAAGACTATCCCGGAAGGTTTAATGGTAACAGGAACAAAGATGACGCGAACCCCATCAAATGAAACAATACTATTTTCATTCACTTGATCGCAAAGTGTCTTCAATTCATAACTTGGCACTTATTTAAAAGGTTTAACAGAGGTAAAACCGAAACATTTTGTACCGACAACACGTCATGAAATAACAGCATCTTTTGTTTAAAATAACTTAATACACTAGAAAAAATATGGCAAATATAAATAATTTTGTTTTCATGGAGAACAAATAGTTACAAAGCTCAACCGCATACCAGAGTTCAGTTAAAAGAGCTTTTCCTCTTCCTTGTAAATTAAAAGGAAAAAACAAAACTAAGGAGACTTTCTAGAGTCGGGGAACAGTTTTCTTAGTCCAGGGAACATTAAATAACTACATGATTGAAACAAAAAAAAATTACTTGAATATACACCTTTGTGAAATAAAATGCTAATGTTGGAAGTCACCCATCAGTTCACACATTATAGCCAAAATAAACTTTGTTCGTGTGTATCAACATATTTTACACAAACCTAGTGCCTGCATCTAGCTGGGTGTTGTTTAAGGTGAGTGTGACGGGGTAGAGAGGGGGAAAGAAAGCACGGTCCTCAAATAAGACTTCAGGAAATTAGCTAGAGGGAATACAAGAAAGGGGAAGGGGAGGGGCTAACACTGACTGAGCGCCCGCTGTGTGTCAAGCACCTATGAGACGCTCTACCTTCATTATTTCATTAGCTCTTGGTTTCTTTTTTACTTCCCCCATATTTTCTGCGCGCCTCCGTCTTCTTGGGACAGAGAGTACTTTTTTTTCCCTTCCAACTTGATTCTTTCATTTCCCCCACCCCCACCCCACCCCACCCTCAGGCCAAAGACGGGGCAAAAAATATAATAGACATGTATCAATTTACAGACGCTTTTGGTATTGTTTCTCCTCCGGAAGATGAAAATGGAATTAAGTGCGTGTGAGTAAGGCGGGAGGGGGGAGACACCATCAATGGAGTACAAGTAACATGCAAACCAGAATTCACTGTCAGCAGTCTGGACATTTCTGCCGTAATAATTTCTCTGAGAAATCATTGTCTGTGGCATCTTTTTTGTATTGATATCATTTTTTCCTCTCGTTTTTATTCTGTCTTCCCTCTTCTTGCTTTTCCATGCGTGGTGGTTTTAACTCAAAGCATCTGATTCAACGTAAAAGGAGGCCCGCCTCTCTTATCAAATTTCTCGTAGTAAAGTGAACTTCGCAGAAAAAGGTCAGTTTCAAAACCTGTGAACTTCCCAGCTGCGCACGCTTTTTCATGTTAATTCTTTAAATAAGTATACTTCTTCCTTCTGTTTTGCCTTCTTAATCCATTTTTTTAAAAAAACCATACACTTTAAGTTGAAAACTTCCCCCCACCCCCATTATCTGGAGATTCGTCCAGGTTATTTTTCCATATTTTAAAATGTATAAAATACTTTGTTTTAATTTTATTTTTGTTCCTCGATTCTCTCTCCTATTTCAGTTTCTGCCAAATAGCAATAAGAAATTAGTTCCCTTTCTCTTTTTTCCTCTGGCTTGTCTTTTCTACTTTTGTTTGTTTGTTTTTGTTTGTTTGCTTGCTTGCTTGTTTTGCTCACTTTTTATCAACAGAATTTTAATTTTCTAAGCAAGAGTTCACTGTTGCAGCTTTGCCATGAGTCATACTCCGCTGTGCCAGCGCTCCCAGTCCAGTCTCCCTCCAGACTCCCCAATCCCGCCCACAAGAGGCAGAATCTAGGCGGTCCAGCAGGTAAGTGATCGGAGGCCAGAGGGCCCGTGGGATCCATCCATCCACGGGGTCCTGCCCTCCGGTCCAGGTACAGCAGGGACGTGGATGGTCAGCGGAAGGAGGAGGACCGGCTCTGGGTCAGGGTAGCGGAGAAGCAAGGCTCGGAGGGCGCAGAGGGTGCGGGCTGCACGCATTGCGTCACAGGCCCAGGGCAGCCGCGTGCTTTTTGGCTTTCAGTCTGAGATCGGCGATGCTGGAGTTCTTGCTGGTGGTCTTGGCGGCTGCAGCGGCCGCCACTACGGAGGCAGCGGAGGCTGAGTCCGCGGCCAGCGTGGCTAGCGGCAGTCCGAAGGGCGGCGCAGGGAACATCATGTAGGGCGCGTGCGCGGCCAGGTGCGGGTGCAGGTGGTGGTGCGCGTGCGCCACGGCGCTGTCCAGCTGCAGCTGCGCCTGAACCTGAAAGGACAAGGGCGTCACGTTGCAATGACTATCCTAGGGTGACAACAGAATAGAAACAGAGCATTAACGGCGTCCAGCTTGGTTAGGGAGGGGGGAGGTTAGGGTGGGGGACAGGAAGGGGTGTTTGACTCATCCATTCAGGTTGCTACTGAATGTGGGGTACCACAGGGAGACTCCAGATCCCACTGAGACTGCAACTTGGTCAGGGAGATAATCTTCCTGGAGATTGGGGATTGCCATCTGCAGGAATGTGACCATTCCTGCGGGATGTGGGTCCTTCAGAGGATGGCATTGTTATTGTACTAAAACATCACCATCCTCAAAATAATAATGATATATTGGAACGACTGGGGGTGAGGGCCATTCTATCCTCTCTGGATGCTGTCAAACACCTCTTACTCTACCATCAAAGCACTGAAGTAACAATATGCAAACTAAAGAAATGTTTCATGTCACTTAGGAAAGTCACTACATCTTCATTGCAATAGACACTATTAGTAGTATTTCTAATCTTTACTGCTATAAAAATTATCCAGAGAAAATGTAAATTCTGATTCGGGGCTAGAATGGCCTGATATTCTGCATTTCTAACAATCTCCCACATGGTGGTGATACTGCAAGTTCACTTCGGAGTATTAAGGGAGCTCCTTTTAAGAATCTCTCTCTCTTTCTGTAGTCATTCTCTTGTTTCAAAAGCCTAGCATCAGGATGCTAGAGTCCTATGGTGTCAAGAAAGCTAAGGTTTCGTGACATTAATGCTCAGTACATAGGCACACCCAAGTGTCTTCCCAGTCCAAGATTTTGGTCACTGAGTGCTAATCCATTACTTCACAGTCCTGCCAAGCAGGGTTTCTGGTTGAAGACAGGGAAGGTTAGACATTGGTTGTCTAACTCCCTTTAGTTTGGAGAGCCGGGAGTTCAGAGCACTGGGATTTCCCAGGATTACATCATTGCTGCAGGCTGTCCTTTTAAAAAGTAGCCTTAAAGATTTCTTTATGGCTAAGAAAGGGATTGCTGAGGCAGGGTGTCCCTAGAAAGACCAAGACTTCCTCTCTACCAGAGATGAAGCTTTGTTTGCACAGACAGTTTTAAAAAGACTAAGTGTGAATTGGAAGTACTTTTATTCATTTATTTTTCTTCTAGCAGAGACATTTAATGCGACTAAGAGGTAGAAAATATCTGAAAAAATATTTAGAGAGTTGCTTTAGAACTAATCTCTTTATTAGCTCTGACAAAATTTTAATCAAAAGGCCTTTCCTTCCTCTCCCCAAGTGCAATCTTCAGTGCATTTTTAAAGGGCCAGTCACTGTCCTCAGACCTCTACAGGTTTCCCATGAGGACAGAAAGGGATAGGTATTCAGGCTCTTCACATTGTATATTGTAAAAGGGAGACCAGGTTCACTATATCATCTCAAAATTGATTCTCTAGCTGTATAAGCACAAAAACTGGGGTTTAGGGAGAGGAGATGTTCAACAGTTCAAGCAAACAGCCCAGGTCTTTTTACAGTTCAAAAAAGGTTGAAACTAGGTATACTTGCCTGCTGAAAAGGCATCCTTAAAGCACCTACGTTGACATAAGGTGCAACTCTACAAGCTTCAAACTGACTGGCAGCCCCTATGAGGACACCTGTAAAAAAAATGGGGAAACAAACACAATAATGTAATGATAATATTTCAAACATTGTTTTTCAGATGTCAGGGTCTCTCAGATAAAACTAATTCTTTTGGGTTTGAATTATCAGCTTCCTGAACCGCTGCTAAAACCATCATAATTTACTCCCAAAGTTTAAGATGATCATAATTGCTTTCAGAAGATTTTAAATCAAGGATCACAGTTATGTTAAGAATTTTTTTAACTTTGTTTGTAATAACAATATTCCCCAGTTCTCCTTTTACATCGAATATCATTTTGTTTGTCAGCATACCTTTATGGAGTTGATTTTCTTGTTTTCTGCATTTAGCCCTTCGATTCTGAAACCAAACCTACAAATTGAAGAGGAAAATAAAAGGTAAATGCTATACCTCAAACATTTTTTTAAATTTATAAGAGTATGACAAAGAGTTGTGTTTTAGGCAAAGAGTGGGAGAAATAGAAAGCAATCAGAAACAGCAGAAGCAAGCAGAACAGTCTCAGTATCCAAAATTAAAAATTATACAGAACAGTCTCAGTACCCAAAATTAAAAATGTAAATGAATGATAAAAGTAGCAAGATAGATTTCAGAGACTTTTGCAAGATAAATTGTTTCTTGATAAATTACTATTAGTCTTGGTCTCATCTTTCCACATTAAAGTCCCCAAGGCCTAAAACTCTCCCTGATATCTGATACCAAAGTGATAATGGATTTAGATGTTTGCTCAGTAAGACCTGAGAAGAATGTGCTCATTAATAGCCTGTAATATTAATTAGCTTCATCTTCAAGAAAAACCAAAGACCAAAGCAAATAGTGACTCTATTCTGGGGAGGGGGTAAAACATGGGGAGAGAGGTAATTAGTGTCATAAAAGCCTCACTACAAAGAAGTTTAGAATTTCTCTGTTCCTCTGTGCAACAGAGTGTAACGCAGTGGCAGAATAATTGTGCCATTATCATGATAATCTAATTTGCTTCTATAGAAAAAGCTCACTGCTTGCAGTTAGGCTAGTAGAGAAACATTTAGAAAATAGCTCTAAAATTTAAACAGAAATATAAAAAAATAACTGCCACCAATAAGTTCATTTTAATGAGGAAAAACAGAAGAGCATTCTGTGAAAGAGGGGTAGGATATGAATCAAGTAACTCCTGGACACTCTCTTCTTCCAGATATTACCTCATCAAATAAACTTGCCAACTTTAGAGGGAGTATGACAGACTTTTTTAAAATTCAAATTAATCTTGCTTTTATACTCCAATAATACAGCATTATGGCATAATAATAAGGTATATTGGCTGATTCACAAATTAGTATGTTTTTTTTAGAACCATGAAAGTATAATATTGCTTCAGAGCCTTTTCTTGTTTTTGAAAGCAAGCATCATAGTCAATGTAAATCCTCAAAAATTCCCCTGCCATTTAGGGTAATAGAAGGGTAGATTTCATGCCAGGGTGGCATCCTTTGTGTAACTCACAAGGCCTGAGGCTTCTAGCCCCCTTTCCCCCTAGAAGAGTGGAGACTAAGATACTAATGCTCATAACTGTAATAATTATCATCATGTCTTTAAGGGTTTACTGAACCTCTAGAGATCTCAGTACACAGAGCAAAGCAGGAGAGGCTTAAAAAGGAAGGTTCTGCTGTTGAGCTGTGATGACCAAGGCAGCCTATTATTACTTTCCCCCTTCAACGTGACTGCTCTGTTTTAGTCCTGATCTTATTACAAGATGCGGGGGGAAAGCCCCTTAAGAATTGCATAGTTCGCTGCAGATGGTGGTCTCTGCGTCCAGAGACCCAGGGAGTATCTGTTACAGTGATACTCTGTAACAGCTGCAGATGTTCAGGCCTAAAACTGCTCCATGTGTTCAAGCAAATAATGACCATCATTTTCTCCTATTTTATTATTTGAGTGGAAACACAATCTGAAACATTTAAATTGTTCTCCCTGTAACTACAGAGATATGTGTGCCTGTATGTATATAATTTTTTCACCTTAAATGCCCCAAAACCTCCTTTTGCCATTCTAGTCACCCCCACAACCAGTAAAGAAAATTTGTTTCAATTCTAACTTCATTAGGTATGACACTTGCTAAGGGGTCAGACTTTGACAATGCTAGCATTGAGATATATGGATTGTTTTAAAATCAAGTTTCTGTAGGTTCAGGTTCACTGTCTTGGTTTAGTGAGAGAACAAAGAGTGACCAAAATGCATTTATTTCTATGCCCTTTCGCACACTGTTTGAGACCCATTGCTAACAGCAGACTGTAAATTTCTGCACTTAACAGTTGCTAATTTTCTTTATAGTCTGTACATCTATAAACCTAATTGGCATATCCGCTTGGCAAACCTAGACCCCAGTGCACACCCCTCAAGGAAACCCAACTCAGGCTAACGAAATATACGTTGTAACTTTGAAGGCATCCAGAAGATAAAACGTTTTCTGTGGGATTTTTTTAAAGGCTTATAAAAGTAGGCCCATTAGGATTAAACCACATTAAAGGCATCGTGAGGGGAGGGGGGTGTGGTTTATAGAGACTCTGGGAGCAAGCCCAGCGCAGCTTTCTTCTGCTGGGAACATATGTTGGAATGGGGGGTGGGGTGGGGTGATGGACTATAAGGCAAAGATCTACTTTTGAAAAAATAAGACCTCTGGTGAAGACATTCCTTCCCTTCTCACACTCCTGTAAATACTTGAACACGCCCTCAGTGTGTCCCCCAAGACGTTCTCCAACCCCAGTGAAGCTCCTCCACTAGCTTCCACTGAACAAGCCTGGAGCTGCTCACAGCCAGTACCTGCACTCGGGCCTCCGAGAGTCCCAGCCGTTGGCTCAGCTCCTCCCGCATGAAGGCGTCAGGGTAGTGAGTCTCATCGAAAAGCCTCTCCAGCTCATTGAGTTGTTCCAGGGTGAAATTAGTCCGACTTCGCCTCTGCTTGATTTTGGTCTGGCCTTCGTCCTCCATCCCTTTCGCATCCTCTTTTCGATCCTTCAGCTCCGGGGACACTGGAAGAAGCACCAGGAACAGGGCCACATGCACGTACAGCAAAACACACACACACACACACACACACACGCACACAGGCACACACACACGGATAAAAACAACAGCAACTCCTGTTACCAGATTTGTCTCAAGAAGGTTGAGGATCCTCCCCCCTCGGGAGTACCAGTTCAGTCTCACCCCGCCCAGAGGAAGAGAACTGGACAAACTCTGGGTGGCTGCTGAGGGAGAGGGGATAAGGTGGGCATACTCACACCCACCTTCCAAAACTGTGGTCTCAACTCGCCTCCTCACTATCCACCCCACCGTTCTCCTGCCCTCCTCACACACACACCAAATCCATTCAACTCACCCTCTTTCACACCCACACGCTCCAAACAGGCACCGAAATTAAAAGCACCGCGCCAGGGCAGTTACTGCTCACGGTCCAGGCAAAAGGGCGCGGCGGCAAGGCCATAGACTGTGCACACATGCGGCCATTCCCAGATTGCTGGGTCGTTTTCAGGCCAATTGTAGCCACCGCTGACGCTTGCTCTCTCTCAAACTTGCTGGTCTAAATTGGGAACAATCGGGCCGGAGGATTTCAACGGGAGAACCAGATCCAGGTTCCGCGGGCGCTGGGAGGCGCATTTCTCCGCTGGGTGCTAATCCAGGGTTTGGGCCAAACCCTGTGGACCGCCCTCGGACAGCCAAGCTGGCCCAGTCCACGGTGCTGGACCCGGGTCGCTGGAGCAGAGATGCCCACGCCATGTTGCCTGCGACCTGGAGGGCTCGCAGCCCACTCCGGGCCAGGAGGCAAGAGACTCAAAACCAGCCTCGGGTGTCGGGTGAAACAGACTACTGCCTCTGTTCTCTTCTTCTCCCTCCCCATTGGAAAGGCAGACTGGACCCTAAACGCTTAAACCCACAGAGATCAACAGGTTCAAGAGGAACATTCATGATTCTCGGTTTCTATTGGTTGCTCAAAGCCTTTTCATGCATCCAGCATCTCGGATGTTTAATAAAATATGCATTTTCTGCTCTGGGTTTGCACACCTCCGTTGCTACTTTTTTTTTTTAAATCCTTCCCTGTCCTTTCTTCTCCTTTTAAAAACAAGAACCCCGTGAGTTTAAGAAAACAGAGACACCGAGGGATGGATACATATCGAATCTAGGCCAAGTGGCAGTAATCTGGTAGACAGTGTCAATAATCCCCTCTCCCCTCCTCTGGTACCTTCGTCCTCTGCATTAGAGTGAGAGACATGGAATTTTAAGGTGTCAAAGCTGACTTTGGATAGTCGAGGCTGTTTGCAGTGCATCCCAGCCCGGGGTCTCAGTCAGCATGAGTGTTAAAAACCATTTCCGGAAGAGTCAGACTGCAGAGAAATTAATACTTGCTCTTAGCTTGGAAATCAACAAATCCAGCGCTGGCCTGCGGGGTTCAGATCCGTACTGAGCCATTCTGCGCGCGGATGTACTGCGGTCTGAACCAAGGACTCAGCCGTGAGGCTGCACCGGGCTGCCTGACAGTTGTGCTACCACTCCCCAAATTTAGGACAACCCGCTGTCAGGTCTCCGGAAGAAGAACAAGGAGCTGAGCCCAGCATTTCCAGTTCTCCGTTCGTTTTTGTGGACATTTGTCCTTCCTCTGGGAAGGAAATGGAAAACATTGTAGCAAACCTTCGAAGCCAAATTATTAGGATATATATTTGCACTGATATTGTAATGAAATTTAAGTATGAAAACACACCCTTCAGATTCTATCAAAGGGGTGAGAAGGCTTTGTCTATTCAGCGTCAGTCACAGGGGATGCCTCTCAAACTTTTGGGGCTTCAAAGAGAAAAATGTCCACATTTTCAGTTGATTAATAGACTTAATATAATTTCCATTTTGTCCCCAAATTTCCACTATTGGTCTAAACAGGAACAGACCGTGTTATAAACAACTTAATTGCTTGCTTAAATATGTGATTCTACGCATGTCACATATTTTCTTAATTGGAAAAATATGGCAGCACACCAGTTACTGCAGGCACTAAGTGCCAAATTAATTTTATTGTTGAACTCCCTTGAATTGGTACTGGAGATAAACCTCTTTCCTAACACTTCTGCTGGCTCCAAAGAATCCCACCCGCCTACCCATCCACGCCAAACAAACCAGAGTACTTGATGATGCAGAAGCAGTAAAGGAATTGTGTGAATATCAAAAAGCAATTCCAAAAAGGGAAGCTAAAGCGTCTCCTGAGAGGAGCAGAGTAGCCTGAACCTTAGCCTGCCTTGGTCTAGTGTTCTACCTTTTTAGCTCAAAGAAAACAGCAAGTTTTGGCCTCTAAGATCTAGGAATCCAGGCTCTCTTGGTAGTTGGAGTGATTCTTAGGGCCAGCCCGAAACCTGGGGCCAGCGGAGGGTGAAATTTCTCTCTCTCTCTCTCCAAACCCCCTCCCTCTCTCCTCTCTCTCTCTTTCTCGCTCTCTCTCGCGCTCTCTCTCTCTCTTTGGCCTAGGAAAGAAGCACCCACAAAACTCGGCGCTAGATGCTTGCTAACCGTCTTCCTGCAGCCTGGCCAGCAGCTGTCGGCTCCCGGCCCTCAGCCGGGCCCCGAGAACTTCCCTAGCCACCCGCGGGCCCATCCCGCTGGTGGGAAGGCGTTTCGGTGGAAGGGGAATAGCCAGGACGTCTAGAAGGGGGAACACAAACCACGTACACCCCCTCCCCACTCACACTCGGACCCCACCCACGACCGCGCACACTAGGGGACTCCCATCCCTCCGTGACCACTCTAGCTCCAAAGCCGGGGTCCAAGGGCCCTCTTCACGTCCCGTTCCTCCCGTCTGGTTTCAGGGTCCTCTCCCGCGCCAAAGGAGTCGGGGAGGGTGGAAGGGAACCGCGGCCGGGTCAGGCGTTACCCTCGGTGAGCCTCGGGCTGCCGGGCTCCCTGCTTCTCTCCGCGGCGCCCATGTCCAGCTCCCGGACGGGAGAGCGCCCTCCTCCAGCGCCCGCGCCCGCTCCTCCTCGGCGGCGGCGAGGATGATGATGTGCGCAGCGACTGCCTCCCCCGCCGCCGCCTCCTCGCGGCCCGGCGGGGACGGATTCTTCCCCGCCGCCACCTTCTCTTCCTCCCCAGCGCCGGGGGCGCTGTTCATGCCGGTTCCCGAGGGCTCGGTGGCGGCCGCGGGGCTGGGGCTGGGGCTGGGGCTGCCGGCCCCGGACTCGCGGGGTCACTACCAGCAGCTGCTGTCAGGCCGGGCCCTGGCCGACCGCTACCGGAGGATTTACACGGCCGCGCTCAGTGACAGGGACCAGGGGGGCAGCAGCGCTGGACACCCGACCTCCAGGTGCGTCTCTGGGTGCCCTTCCCTGCGCCGGGAGCCGCTTGGGCGCGGGTGTGTGTGCTTGTCTGTCTCTGTCTGTCTGTCTCTGTCTCTGTGTACGTGGTTATTGAGCTGCCTTGAGCCAGCGCTTGCTGCCAGGTTCTGGAGACACCGCGGTTGGAGGGAGGGTGCGGTGGCCGCAGTTTCTGCTGTGTGTGTGACCGTCTTTGTGGGGGGTGAGAGGGTGGCGGGTGAGCTTAGAAAAGGTGATGGTGTGTGGTGGTTCCGGCACGTGTGTGTGTATTGTTGAGGAAGGAGGAGGGATGAGTAGAGGATACGGATGTAATACACGGAGAGAGAATTTGCCCAGTGTAAGGCGTGTGGGCTTTTCCAGTGTCTGCCGCAATGGTATTTTGCACGTATTTCTCCTCCCCACCTTCTCCCCTCCTTCACCCACCAGCTTTGACATTCCATCCTACCCTTTCCGCCTCCCTTAAAAAAATCTGCCTCTCCCTAAAGGGAGCGATGGTATAGATTAAGGACAGTGTCATATATCTGATGAGTAGAGTAGGCTGTTGGATGAGGCATGAGGTTTCCATTTAAGAGATTATGCAAAAGGTATGCAGATGGACATTTACGTGTACGCTAAGGGTTGGGGGTACAGATTTGTACAACCGTGCTTTCATAAACGAACCTTCTGCTCCTCTAAGATGTGGATGCTTTTGTGTTTTGATGTCCCATCAGCCAGTTCCCTCATCTTCTGTTTTATTTCCT